ACACAAAACATTTTTCTACATATATACATATATATATCAACAAATTCACAGTTTGAATCCACCTAGCACAACAAGGAACGAAAAACTCCTCACAATGTGACTGTCTGCAGCCAGTGGACCGACATGCTGAAAAGTAAAAGACACATTTAGCGCCGTGACCGAGTGGTCAGCCACCGGCCCAGCTCCCACTCATAGGGTCACATTTTTCCAGCCCAACCACGAGAAAACTTTACAAATTATATTTGTAAATGTTAAATATTCTTACAGTATTTCGATAATTGTTGAACTAGAAAAATATGACCCTAAGTAAAGGAGTCTCGCATCTCGCACCTACCTCCTGCAGCGCTCCTCAGAATTCTGGTGGGGGAAGCCGCGAGAGTAACTGACGGACCCGTTGATGCAGTCATTCATCACACCACTAGGTGGCTCCAAACGCATTGACCAAAAATCTCATAAACACATACAACCATCACTACAATCATTTTGATCAAAACTCACACAAAGACACACACAAGCTTTTTTTTTCTCTGTTACATTAAGGTTATTTAGGCAATAGTGAAGTTCTGGTGATGCTCTCTGATCGTCCTGGAAACAGATTATAAACTGCAAACAGAGTGTCTGGTGGCAGTTTAAACAGTTGTACAGAAAAATGAGGAGTTGTCTGTATCTTATTATAAGTAAGGCTTTGGGTACAAGATTTCAGTTTTCATGTTTGTAGTTTTCATGTTTGTAGTATTCACTGTTAAGAAAATCAAACTTTTTCTTTCTTGTATTTTATGTTTTTGTCTGATTGAAGGTCCAATGTGTTGCTACAGTAAGACAAAATGAAAAAAATAATGACTAAATTCAGACATGTGAAGTTGTGTTAAAGTAAATAAGACCAAGAAACGATACAAATATTCTAACATACAAAAATTCTAAAACAGAAATATACTTGGGAATTGAAAACTGGCCCCCAGGCCTTGGATTGCTCTCCATCTAGCATTACGGTGTTCTGTTTCAACCGACGCATTCAAAAAAAGTCTCAAGACATGCTTTTTTAGACAGGACTATGGCTAACTTTTTGGTTTCTTGTTTTTAGTTTTTCTTTGTTTTATTATGTTTACCCTAATTGTAAGTACTTTGTGACTTCTCGTGTCTGTGAATGGTGATATATAAAGTTTACTTACGTACTTACAAATATAAAGTAACATAAAGGCTGTGAGGACATTACATGTAACACCCAAGAAACTTTTGTTTCTATTTTTACTGTTTAAATCAGTTCTTAGGGGTTCTAACGGTCCGTTCCTGTGCATATTTTAACATTATCCTGTAAATTTGTTTTTGCCTAAAACCGTCTCAGTGCTGCCCTCTTTGGTTGAACAGTGGTTACTGCGGTTGAATTTTCCTACTGCTCACAACGGTACAAAGATGAAACCTCTCGGCTCATCACCTCTTTTAGCCATGCCCCTCAGTGTATCGTTAATTAGCTAAAAATTAAGGACGTGAAAATTTGTTTAACCAAAGTCTAAAAAAATATTCCAGCTGAATCATAAAAAATATTTTATTTGATCCACAGCAAAACTTGTTCAAGTCTTTTAAACAGAGAAAAAGCAGAAAGTAGTGAAATTTCACTAACTACCGGTGTATTGCATATAAAAAAATAAACAATATGAAATACATATGTATACATTCTGTTGTTTAATTAAATACCTATCGAATGGAAATAAGTTTATAAAAACAGTGACAGCGATTAGATCATCTTTCAAACATCTTTTGTTTGAAAGGAGATCATTCAGTAAAGGAACATTATTTAGTGAGGAGCCACATATTAAATAATTTAGCTTATCTATGATACGAAACTTTCTTGTAAGTGTCATTTGGTCATTTTCTCAAAGACATGAGACTAAATGTTCTTCATTTGAGCTCTGATTTTTTCAGAGAACAAACTGCAGATATTTCCTCAGCAGATGATTTATTCTGTCTGTCGTCTTCTCTGATTTCCTGTCCCTGGGTTGATCAGCTTTTATTCTGTCTGACCTTCATTTTCTCCTGTGTTTTCTGTATTTATGCTGCTGTCTTGAATGTTTTATTTAGTTTATTTTTTATTCTTCTTCCAAAGTGTAAAGGGAAATACTTATCAAATATTTGTCTTCCATTTCCCCCTATTGTTTTGTATTTTAACTCATTTATACCTAAGGCTGACATATTTTGTGTGTTTTTTTGTTATTATCAGTTAATTTTGACAACATTGAGGAGCCATGCAGCTGTTTGGCAGACCTGCAGCTGCAGCATCACATGAGCTGAATTTCCTTCAGCGTTTTATGTTTCACTCCACACTAATTCAACACAACCCATCAGAACAACCATAGCAGCTGACCTGACTATAGCAGGAAGTCCGAAACAAAGATAATAACAAACAGTAATAGCTTATCTTACAACTGTAATCATTAGCATCATATTCATTATCAGCTAGCAAATAATTAGCTTGACAAATACGTTGAAGTACTTCTGTTGGAGCCTATAAAGTCTATTCTCTCAGTGTAGGGACTTTAGAACTGGGTGATGTTCTCTAGCTTCTTGGTTTAAGTCAGAACGCCAGCAGCAGTGGTTCTGGATCTGATTGATTTGTTAGGTAGACCTGTAAAGACACTTTTGCAGTAATCAATGTGACTCAAGATAAACACATGGTTGAGTTTCTCTAGATTTTGTTGAGATTTTAGTTCTTTAATCCTGGGAATGTGCTTCAGGTTATAGAAGACAGACTTTGTAACTGTCTTTATGTGACTCTGAAGGTCCATCTCTACATCCAGATTTCAGGCCTGATCTCTCGTTTCCAGCTGTGATAAATGAGTAGCGAATGTTCCAATAACCTTCATAATGGACTGATTTTGGTTACGTCTCTGTTGTTGAGTCCATATCAGCAAAGCTCTGGTTCTAAAGTAATAGTGGAATAAATAGCAGGTGACCCGTTGCCATGGCTACCAGAGCTCATATCTAACTGAGGTTCTGAGTATGTGACGTTATCTGAAACACCAAGATGGCCGCCATTGGATCCGGTGTCATCGTTCAACAGCTGCACTTCAGAGTACTCTGCTTCTTCTTTAGCCTGGAAGAAAACAAGGAGAAAAGTTTTATTTTGTTAATTTACACTTTAAAATGTTTCTACAGGCAGAATTTAGGATAGCTGAATAATTAATTAGTTATTATTCACAAATGTTCACAAAGAGTTTCAGTCACTATGTGCAGAGCTGGTAAAGACAGATCTGCAGCAAAATTAGATTCAACAAAGCTGGATACTTTTGCACATCATATGTTTTTTCATTTATAAAAAACGTTTTGAATCAAGTATAATTTTGTTTCTACTTCACAAGTTTTTACCACTTTGTGTTGGTCTTTAACATAAAGCTTCAATTGTAGTTTAAACAGCTCTGTTTTCTACAAGTTTGCATGGATATCACAACTTCAAGAAGTTAAAGTGAAATCCAGATTAAAAAATATTTATTAGAAACACATCAATACATCAGATAATTTAAAATGCTTTTAGAGGATATTAAAAATTAAATCTTTATCAAATAAAATTATCACAAATATATTGTGCTTCTGACACAAGAGAGTAAAACCAAATTTCTATGACATATAAGAAACTAAATTGCAAATCTTTTTTATTCACTTGCAAATGCATCCAATCATAATCATATTGTAGGACATTGGAATGGCTTCCCATATTCTATAAGTCAGTAAATGCAAAAGAGGAAAAGCCTGATAATCAAAAAAGTTTATCATTTTATGAATAAATCTACTGAAAGTTACCTTGTTTACAGGATTTTGAGCAAAATATTAAATGTTTTACCATGAAACATAAAACGAAACACTCAGAGCTCAGACGTCCCCCGCCTCTGCGATAGTGAAAAAACTATACTTTGTATTTTTAGCTCAAACTGAATGACAAAAATTAAGAAAACAATATTATTATTAATGTCCTTCCACTTACTCGGCACTGCGGTTCGCTGGCCAGGCTGTATATTGCGTTGCTTTCAGCTGCGTTTGGTTTGTTGGGTTGGACAGAAACGTAAACTGAAGATATTTCCCCAGCAGGAGGTTTGTTCTCTCTGCCATCCTCTCTGATCTCCTCATAAACGGTGTTGATCTGCAGAACCAAGAGTTTAAATTGGATGAAGCAGCAGGTTTACAAACTGACTGCTGTAGGATTAGAAAGACGCTGCAGATGTTTTTACTCTGACTTACCGTTAAGTCAGGGGGATTTGTGTCTACTGGACGACCTGAAAAAGAAAACAAGGAATTATATGACTTAAAACAATATTACAAAACTGTTAGTTAGCAGAGATTCCCTTTTTGATTTAGATCTGAACCTTGACTGGACCATTCTAACAGAAGAATATTTCTTTGAGCTAACATCTGCGACTTCCTGCAACTTTTGAATACATCTCTGCTCCAACATATTCAGGGAGGCTGAATTATCTCCTTACATGTCAACAAGTTCTGCAGAGGCCTGGCAGAACTTGATGACACAAAATGATGAAGTTACAGATAAGTGTAATTATGGTCTGCTTCAAGTTTGGCAATATCCTCTGAAACTTTATGTGAGCAGAACTATGCATAAAAAGCTTTGCCTTCATGTAACACTGTACAACATAACAATTTTTTCAAGATTGTTTTTTATACTTATTGACTTCATGCAAATTTTATAATCTAAGGGTGCATTCACACTGCAGCCTGAAGTGGCCCAATTCCAATTTTTGGCAATTCCAATGTTTTTGCCAGGGCCGTTCACACTCCCAATAAATGCAACCCGTATGTGTTCTGCAGTGTAAACAGGCAAACGACGTGAAAGTGTCCCGCATGGGCAGTAGAGGGCGCAATAGCGTCAGCGTTCTAAGTGTTCTACATTCGAAAAAGAATGCGACCTGTGCTGTTCAGACTGCCATGAAAAGATTGGATACAGGTCGCATTATGTCAAAAACAAAATCGGAATTGGGTCACTTCAGGCTGCAGTGTGAAGGCACCCTATGAGCATGTAAAAGACAAAGGAACTTTAGTAAAATCACCATAAATGGAGGCATAGTTACATTCTGTTGGTAAATTACATTTTGGGGAAATAAGGGTGCGTTCACACTGCAGCCTGAAGTGACTCAATTTCGATTTTTTGGCAATTCCGATTTTTTTTTTTTTTTTCACACTGCCGCTAAATGCGACCTGCATGTGTTCTGAAGTGTAAACGGGCAAACGACCTGAAAGTGTCCCGCATGCGCAGTAGAGGGCGCAATAGCGTCAGCGTTCTCAGTGTTCTGCCAACCATAGACATAATATAAGCATAGACGCCTCATGGACCGCTCCGGCGCAGGAAATACGGCGGCCATC